GCTTGTATGATCAAACCTTGGCCGATTTCCTCATCTATCCTATCCATCCTTTGTATTGAGTATTTGTGACTCCATTAGAGGTGCAACACTTGGGGTACTAGGCTTTCAGAAGTCAAGATCAAGAAAGGATTGTTCTTGTTATTACAATATGAAAAGTTAGGTAATCTTCTGAAACATCCCAAAATCCAAGACCAAAAATTTCATTTCTAATTTATTAATTCATAAAACAGATTATTAAAAACATCATTGAGTTATCCCATATCATAAAAATAAACCCATACATCATATGTCTCAAAACAATTCATAATAATGTTAGAGTACTAATCCCAAGAACATTATAGTGCGGAAATTAGTGGTGTGATGCGTTGCAGTCATGCTGGCTCCTTTCCCTTCAAAGATGAAGTATCTGAAACCGTAAGCACAAAGCTTAGTGAGTTCCCCCATCATACCACATACAATATAATCACATAACGCCTAGCATATCTGGGTGCTGGCCTCCCTTTCGGTCTCTTTCAACCGGTAACTGCCTAGCATATGTAGGTGTTGGCCTTCCCTTCGGTCTCTTTCAACCGGTAACTGCCTTGCATATCTGGGTGTTGGCCTCCCCTTCGGTCTCTTTCAATCGGTAACCAGGGACTATTCTACCCTTACAACTACCACATAGTACCCTAGCATATACATATAAATCATATATAGCTTAGCATATTTGGGTGCTAGCCTAGCATATACATATAAATCACATAGTAACAAATGCTTGGCCAAGCTGAGACTGTGTTGATTAGATTCAATAGTTAGTTAAGAAAAGTCACCACAAGTCGGTATCGGGAAACATAATCTTGAACCATGAGATTGACCCTAGATCCACGTCTTTAGTCCATAATAAGATATCATGAAAATCAAATCAATTTGATGTTATCAGTCTTAAGGTTGTTTACAACGTAGTTGCTATAAGTATAGTAGTTGCATTGGACTGCCACTCACTATTGTTCCTAGTAAGTATTAGACCGGTCAATTGTTGATGTCTAAGTGCAAGTGGGAGCTGATGGAGATTAGTGTCCATAACGATAACAAACCTGATAATATTACTATAACTAGCAGTGTCCTTTTGGGATATACGCAATAGCAAAATAAAGCAGAACTAAAAAGATATTTATATGAGGGGCTTGTTTTGTTAATTAATTACTAGTTTAATTATTTAATTAGAAAATAAAATAATATGGAATATTTCAGAATGATTTGAATTTCGTAGATTATTATTATTATTATTATTATTATTATTATAATAATATTTGGTAATCTTTATGGTTTCAAATCATCGTGTCTCTCTCTCTCTCTCTCTATATATATATATATATATATATATATATATATATATATATATATATATATATATATATGTCTCTAACCAACTGCCTCGTCAAAGTAAGAAACCCACCAAGAAATTTAAGGTATGTTTTGATTTATCATGTCCTACAAGTTGCATAGATTTGTTGAGTTGGATCTATTAATTTCAAGTCATTAGATTAGAATGTTGTTTCTGATGCCGTTGTTTTGGTATTTGACTAGGCTCGAAACCCATCAGTTTTCGTCACCCTGTCTACTCTATACTGTATTTCACTTAACCCTAACCCTAACCTCACCCTACCCACCGTGTCTTCTTTTCCACAAAAAACCCCTAAAGAAATTGGTGGCTTTAATTGATATCTATGGACTTTGATGGTGATTTAAAAGGAGATTTTTCACACATATGCACATATCCTCTAAATATTACACCATTTCAACGCCCAAAAGTTCTTTAACCTTGCTTCATATTATTTGAGAAGAGGAGTGCATGTAATAGAAGGATCCATTAAGATCTTGGACATATGTTTCTACAAATGTTAAGTCAAAGAGTCATCATTTTCTTAGAATGTTCTTCAGTTTTAACGATAGAGATCATATTAATATATTGTTTCCTTTCCATCCAACATATATGTTCCTCGTCTATCTAATAAAAACTACCTAACAAAACTCTAGCAAGATAACAAACACTTAGAGCTACCTATCTAAATTGGTAGTGTTTGTAGAACTAAAGTTACCAAATATGTATGTGAAACTAACCCTTCTTCAGCATCATTACCTAAATATAATCTTGGTCTTGTGTAATTTCGTGCACAACTGATTAAGAGTTTATAACCCATGTTTCCAATTACATTGTAGATATCAAGAAATTCTAAGTTCGGATACTTTGTAAGCAGAAAATAATGATCGTCTATGTAAAATAAAGCATAAAAGAAGATCAAGTTCGGTTATTCATGATGGAAAATGGAAGAAGAAATGGCATTATAGTTAGTTCATATAATTTAATGTCATGGGACATATCTTTTTGATTGATCATTGAAGGAACCTATAGCATGGGTTATGACTATTTGATTACGCCATGAATTTGGCAGAGTAGAGCGGTGATATGCACTAGGTGGAACTGTAGATGTCTTCACCCTTCTTGTTCAAGAAGGAAATAAAAAAAAAAAATTAAAGCATACATCGATCAAAAAAAAACTTGGAAGATGAAGGAAAAAGTCTAAATCAATCAAACCTATAACCAAAATTGAATCTAGGAATCTCTATGCGCTGCAATGACTTTAATAGCTTTTCGGAAATGGTTTAAAGCAACAATCAGTGTGAGAAATTGATCCATCGGATGGAGGTGGTGGTTATCATTGACTAGGGAATACACTTCAGATGATCATCGGTGGAAAGGAAAATAGTGTTGGTCATTACCATCATACAAGTTTGACTTAGGGTGTTGACGATGTAGGTGGTGGGAACTGAGATCAATATTTTGTGACTTTAATGTGTGGGGATAGGTGTGGGTTGTGGTCCCATTTTATTTCAAAATTAATAAATATTAATACGATATTATAAGAAAATGTAAAAAACAAATACAAGGTTAAAATATTCTTAAATTTTGATGGTTTGATGGTGACCAAATCTATAACCAAACTAGCTAAAAAAACCATATCAAGAAGGTTTGAATTGTATCCAAAAGCATGACAAACTATAAGGCCCATTTTTGGATTTTTATTAATATTTAAAATAATTACAATGATTTATATCAAAATAGATGGCCATTAAGAATGTGTGTTTTTATATACGTTTAGGTCCTAATTTATTTAACATAATTAAAACTTAATATAAATGCTATCAATTCATAACTAGATAACAAAGTTTTTTTTATAACATATGTTTACTAATATTTTTAATATCTAATTGTATTTTTGGTAAATAGGGCAACATATCCATTGTTAAAACATAGTATATTTAGTGCATTTTCAATAGGAGGGGAATAAAGGAGTGGATGTACGTTTAGGGGAGGTAGCACTTTCCATAAAGGAGGGGTGTAGAGGCAGACATCACACGTCGCATAAAGGCAGGTTGGTTTGAAGTGGATGGTTGCCTCAAGAGTCTTATGTAACAGGAAGATCCCCTTGAAACTAAAAGGGAAATTTTGCAATGTAGCTATGAGGCCTACCATAATGTATGGATCAAAATGGTGATCATCCAAGAATGGCTATAAGAGGAAGATCGAGGTAGCAGAAATGGGGATGTTATGGTTGAATTTTGGTAAAAGGATATTTGGATAGGATCCTAAAGTAGTTATAAGAAACTCCTTGGGAGTGGAATAGATCATTGAAAACTAAGGGGAGCGACATTTGAGTTGGTATGAACATGTTATGAGGAAGTGAATATGTCTTAGAAGGAAGATAATGATAATGTGAGACATGATATGGAGGAGTTGGCTCTTTCCAAAGACATGACCTCATACAAGGGGGTGGGAGGTAAAAAATCAAAGTTGCTCTATAGCATCACTCCAATCATTGATATTTATGGTTGATACTTGCTTCTTGTTCATAAACTTATAAATTTTGTATTATTATTCATATATTATTGTATTCTTATTATTAACTTACACGCTTGTTTCTCCTTTTTGCAAGTTATCGAGCTCATATGCTTCTTTATGATGCATTTGTCTTTCTATTTAAACTAACTTACTTTTTCGATTTCTGCTCATCCATATATTATGGTTTTGCTCATGTCATAGGTCATATTGTTACGACAGTCACTCTTTCCCACATGTAGACATGATTGTCGACATCTACCACCCCTGTTTTATTCTAATGGGATTCTTGAGGTTGGTTGGTGTTGTATAACAATGATGTGTACAACCTCCATCTTAAGCAATAATAAATGCTCAAAGCAAGATGTTCTTAAAAAAATTATTTACTAATTACTATCATCAGATAATGTTCAACCAACAAACCATTAAAAAAAATCGATCACGACTGTGTAATAAATTAGTTAGCTACATTCAATGTCATAGCTACCATGATATGATCCTGTCGTCCATGTTGTAAATTTATAAATTATTGTTTAATAACAATTTATAAGTCTTTAAATAATTAAATACATTTCCTTTTTTAGCTAAGTTTATAAAACATAATAGTTATTTATTTATTTTTCTTCAAAATTAAGATATTACTAAACAGGAGTTTAAAAGGAATCACGAAACTTAAGGGTGGTGGCTTTTCGTTGTAAATATGTGACATGATGCTAAAATGTGAAGTTGAGTTTCCCGAAAAAAAAAACAGAATTTATCTGAGCTATTCTTCTTGTGATGCAGATACTTTAGGTCTACTATGGAATGGGCTTTCGAAGATCTAGAATTAATTCTCAACCGTTTGATGTCCATTTGACAGAGAATTTAATGCAGGTCGTATCTGTAACTCCCTACCCACTCATTTCTTTCGGTTCACATTCGATGAAACAAATCTATAAAATGGTATGTCTTTCTTTCTATTTTATATCGTATCTCATTTAAGCCATGCACTCTTCATCTGTCTTCATTGATCATATTATATGTTCTTACATCTAAGTATCTTGTAAAGTTGTTGTTTTTATCTTTCATTGATCAAGTTTTCAACCCCCTCGATCCCCTTACGCAGACCAAGAGTTTAATAAATATGGTCCCATATGAAAATGTTAAGATTGTTTTTAGAGCTTTAACAGTCTTGCTCTGGTTAGGGACTTGCATGGCAGAAACATTATCTGCTAACTTTGTTTTTGGCGATTCTTTGGTGGAAGTAGGCAACAATAACTACATTGTATCACTATCAAAGGCAAATTACATACCAAATGGGATCGATTTTGGGATGCCCACAGGAAGATATACAAATGGAAGAACAATAGTAGACATTCTAGGCAAGTCATTTCTCATCATCATTCTTTCCTCATACACTTCCCATATATACAACTGAAATTACATATTTACCCTTAGTTATTGATAGTACTTGTTCATAAATGTTGCAATTCCAGGAGAGGAATTGGGTTTGAAGGATTACACTCCGCCATATCTGGCTCCAAGGACATCTGGCCCACTACTTTTGAGGGGTGTCAATTATGCATCTGGTGGTGGTGGAATTGTGAATGAAACGGGAAAGATCTTTGTAAGTCAACTTTTTTGATATTCGGTTTAAAGTTTTTATCTATGAAAATCGATGTTTAGTACTAGCTCATTTATTGTAGTGATGTGGTCACACTCCATTTTTAGAAAGAAATGATGTTATTCCAACTTCCTTCAATAATCCCATGAACATTGCTAAAAATATGAGGAATCTTGTCAACCGAAAGTACGTGGCATTATAATTTGTAACAAATATGTCATTTTAGATTGAATTTTCCAAAAAAAAAAAAAAAAAAAGTAAATTAAATCTTGCAATGTTTCATGTGGGGTTGGGTGGGCCGTGGGTAAGCACTTATATATATCTGGATTAACATGAACATGGATTGTGCAACAAATTTTAAGCCATGTGCTATTAAAAGAGTTTGGACTGAATTACAAATTTAGTCCCTGTATTTTGCCAAATTTTATTACTACAGTCCCATAGTTTGCCTTCTGTTCATTCTACGTCCCTAAAACATAGTTTGCTCACCTTTTCTTTCTGTGTGCCATCTAACTTAATGTCCCAGCCGTTAAATCCATGAAAATGACCATTTTGTCCTTGCCTTCTTCATTTTCTTCATCTTCCTCTTCAATAAATCAACAAAAAAACATGGGATTATCCTACAACTACAAAAATAATCTTATTTATCTGTTCATTACAGCATATCTTGAAAGAATATAATGTTTTCTAGAATGAAATATTATCTAACACCCCCTCATCTAAGTTGTTTTTAAACGCATAACTGATATTGATCAAGAATGTAGTTTTAAGAAATAGAAGACAAAAAAAATGCTCATTTTTATATTGCATATTTGACAGAATAGATTAATTAGTCAAAAACATGGGAAAGTTTTAAATTTACAAATATATAATGGTATTATTATGTTTATAGGGTGGAAGGATCAATATGGATGCACAACTAGACAACTTTGCAAATACGAAGCAGGATATAATATCCAGAATTGGTGCTACTGCAACTCAAGAGTTGTTGAGTGGAGCTCTTTTTTCAGTAACAATTGGTTCAAATGATTTTATAAATAATTATCTCACACCCGTTGTTTCAACAATTGAGCGAAAACTGGTGTCTCCAGAAGCATTTGTGGGAACCTTAATTTCAAGATTCAGACTACAACTTATGGTAACCTCATGAAAATTATTTTTATTTGCATTTATTTATTCATCTTCAAGATCTTCCACACTCTAAAAGTTCATTTTTGATTTCTTAATTTATTTATAGAGGTTATAACAAATAGGTCTTACTTAGAAAACGTATAAATTAATATTTTTAAATATGCACGAAAATACAAATGGAAATGTAATGTTGACATGTCAACATAACCCAAGAAGCTCATTTTGCCACCTATTTATCTCAGTTAAAGTAATTTCATATTCTTCGAATTTTTTGAATCTTGATTGATTCATGTCACGTGCCTTGAAACTTGCACTTTGTAATTACGAATTCATTTTTTTTTTTTTTTTTTTTGACATTGCTATTTGTTGCATACAGAGATTATATGATTTGGGTGCTAGAAAGATTGTGATCCCTAATGTGGGCCCCATCGGATGCATTCCATATCAACGGGACGTAAATCCTTCTGAAGGAAATGACTGTGTGGCTTTGGCAAATCATTTAGCTCAACTTTATAATCGGCAATTGAAAAGCTTACTTGAAGAACTTAATATTAAACTCAAAGGTTCAACATTCCTATTTGCAGATGTGTACAATATTGTTGCAGATATCATTCAGAATTTCGAATCATATGGTGAGTAAACTTTTAAAAGATTTATGTTTTTGATTTTTTAACTTGATTTTATTCCTTTTGATACTTTTATAATAAATGGTATAGAAGATGAAAGTACATTTTAGTAATGGAAGGAAAAAATAAATGAATATTCTTTTTAAATAAAAATGTCTATGTCTTTACCAATTAAGTCCTAACTTTTACGAATTTGCCTTCATTTTTTTTGTTCTTTCATTTTTTTTCAAAAATGTCTTCAATGTTCAATCAAATGTCATTTATCGAGAGAACACTTTCTGAAATCAACTTATCTCGATTGCAAAGTCAATTTGTCACTTAAATCTTCGGTCCCAAACAGGTTTTGAGAATTCAGATTATGCGTGTTGTCATGTGACCGGTCAACACGGTGGTCTAATCCCATGTGGGCCCACATCTAAAGTTTGTACTGATAGATCAAAGTATGTTTTTTGGGACCCGTATCATCCTTCGGATGCCGCCAATGCTATCATTGCCAAACGTTTAATGGATGGAGGCCTTGCAGATATATCCCCTTTTAACATTAGAGCTCTTTTTGGATCTTGAAGAAGAAAATGAATTTGGGAATTTTATGTTGTTATGCATCCATGTTTGGATGAATACGTGTATGAGTGAAAAGATATAAGTTTAAGTTTTAACATATTATTGTTTCAAAATTTTAATCCCTTTGAGAGGCATTGTCAATCAACATTGCAAATTGAGAGTCATATCAGCTCTAACATATGTATTTTTCGCTTGATTTTAAATTATGTGAGTGGGTATTTATGAAATTTTGAATTCACTAAACCTAACATATTGTGTATGAAATTAATGGAGAAATACAAAACAATGACGAGTTCGTCAAAGGTCAAACCTTACATCCTCTTCACTATTATTTTTTTTATTTACATTAAATTAATAAAAAAAATTGGTAAAGAAAGCCGGCCCGGAACAATAATAGTCACATTCATGCTATTTTCATTCTTATTGGTACAGTTAACATTAAAAGTATTACATTTTTTCATAAATCCATCTACATATCCCTATAGAGATAGTATTATAAACAACATTATGCTATTGTAAACTTAAATAAAACAATAATAATGAGAAAATATAAGTAAACAAACAATACACCTATTTGTTATAATGAGAAAAAATAAGTAAAGAAACAATAAACCTACTTGTTATGTCGATTGATGTCAATTATAAAATACGAAATCAACAATAACCTAATGTCAATTAACATTAGAAGTATTAACTGTTTTCATACATGTGATTTGCACTTTGTCGGGAACATGTTGTTTTTTGTCTTGTTAAGGAGGAAGGTACCCACCGTTCTCATCTCTCTCAACTCATTTGTCACATCACTATCATATCAGTTTGCATCTCTCTCTCTCTCTCTCTCTCTCTCCCCCCTCTCTCTATCACGTTCATTACTCTTGTTGTAACAAGTCTCCAGCTTAACTCCGTCTCTTTGAAGAATGGGATGGAGGTCCTGAGAATCACAACAAAGGAAACAAGCTCGTCAGTCTTATTCTGGGTGGTAGTCCCGAAACGAATCTCCAACGCTTAAGTTGGTTCGTTTCTTAGAGAGAATATGAGATATAAGACAAGAGTTAGGAGATTTTTCCCACGGTCCCTTCTCTTGGAGGATAAGGAACCTTTTTATACCTGTGATCAGGGAAACAAATCCCCGAAAAAATCTTTTACCTTTTTAGGAGTGATAGGGTGAAAAACAGTCCCTGATTGGTAGATCGTGCTCCGCACGTAGTTGGTCACTGTTGGTGCAGGGTTGTCAAGAGTAGCGTTCTAAGACGTACACTTGTCATTCTGGAAGGTAGCTAGTATTATTTTTTCTTGACACTGGCTTTGACGCTTGGGCGCCAAGGAATAAGTTTGGAAATCCGAGAATGAGGGCGAGAGTGAGGTCCCGATATTGGGTGTACGCCGGTCTTTGCTCAAACCGTCTAACGATTCCGTTATTTTTCATGTATTCTTGGTGGGATACGTTAACAAGTCCCCTAGGCTAGTAGACGTCATCATTTTCTTAGGGTAGCTGAGTAGTTCTAGCTTAGATCTAGGCACGCGTTTGGTGCGAACGGTCCTTAACGTGTAGTAGAGTCGTTTTGGCGAGACAACGTCGTTTCGTTCCGTTTTTTCTTCTTCTCTTTCTTTCGTTTTCTTTTTATTTAAGGGTTCTCTATCTTTAGTAACGGTTATACACTTCCCCTTTCCATAATTCATTGTCTCATCCTCTTTTGCCATTTCTTCTTTCACCCATATTTTTTCCCTCCGATTCTTGATCGCCTCTACTAGATCTGGAGTTTCTCCTACACCCGAGGAGTTTAAGTCCCTTCAATTCTGATTTAGCTTCATGCCCAAGCATGGAGTTCAATTCCCGTCGGAAGGGTCTACATTATATCAACCACCAGCAGCAAAAGTGGGTATTCCGGTAGCAATCTTCGTGGCTGGGTTTTGGCTTCCCGTTTTTGGTTTCTTTGACGAGGTTATGCAAGAATATGGTTTCTCTGTTCACAACTTGACCCTGAACATTGTGAACAAGATAGCTAGGTTTGAGTTATGGTGTCAAGCGTTGGGGGTGCTTCCCTATCTTCAAGCATTCTAGTCTTTCTTCAATTCGTCTACCCATTTGGGCATTCACACTTTCTCTCAACGTTGTAACACGCATTCCTTTATAGTTAACCAGAAAGCTCCTCGGAAGAACTGGAAGGATCGGTCAGCTTTCCTCACGTGCCCATGGCTTGGGATCGGGCACCTTAACTTTTAGGGGTCAGTTTGTGGGTGGCTCTCACGATAAGAGGAATTTGTTTCAACGACAAAGACTGGTCAAACTATGCATTGGCAACAACCGAAATGAGTGTTTCTTGGTGGTCACATGGAAAGATGCCTCCGTTTTTTGTTGTTGGGAAGAAGGTGGTTTGCGTTGTTACCATTTGCAGGTCGCGAGAGGTTTATGTCTCTTGAGCAAGTGTTGCGGGGGATTTCCAAGGGATCTACAGTATCATGAAGTCCCTCAAGTGGAGACACTACCAGCTCCAGCCAAATTTGGACATATTTTTTAAGGCGGTGTCTCTCTTGTTGAGGTTGGGGTCAGAGCTCTTGTCGAGGCAGGGGTCAGAGGATTAGGTGTGGCTAGCAGAAAAGTCATCTCCCGACGTCGGTCTGCTGCTGTGGATTACGCCTTTGAGGAAGATGTCGGTAACAGTTCTATTATATGGAGTTTGCGTTGGAAACGCAACATTGATCCTCTGTTTCTAAGTCCCCTGTTTTTATTGAGATTGTTGATACTGACGACCCGCAAGCGATGGAGGCAGTGGATTTACGTCGGTCGGGGGAGCTAGGTGTTATGGACACTTACTCCGTCCACCCCTCTGTTCCAGAAGATTCCCTGTTGGCAGTGGGTCCTTCGTATTTGGGTGCTACTGGTGTGTATCTCCTTGGGTGGAATCTCGTGCCCAGTTCCCTTCTTTCAAAATAGGTACCCGCCCGTGAGTGGTGTCGACATGCGTTTCCTCCGGTTACCTTGGAGGCTCTTGATGTTCTTTCTTATTCTTACGTGGCGAACGATCTTCAGTGTGCTGCTGCTCAGGATCCCCCTTACTTGGTGGCGACTTCTGGTCGTCTTTGTTACATTGGGGTTGATTTAACGTAGTTGGCTGCTGTTAAATCCAAGTGTGACAAGCTCGCGGAGAAGGTTTAGCTTCTCGAAGAGGAGTGACGCAAGTTTGATGAGCACTACCTCATGCTGTCTATGGAGAAGAATGATGTGGAAACTTAGGTGGTGACTCTGGATAGGGAAGTTAATCTCTTATCTCAGCAGGTCCAAAATTTGGTATCGGAGAAAGAAGCATCGGCAAAGCGTTTTACACTACAATACGATCAGTTCACCATTGAAGTCTCGAGGAGAAAAATCTTGGAGGATGATTTAGTGTGGGTTATCCAAAAGGGAGTAGTCAGTGTGGTGGACCGTGTTTTTGAGAGTAGTGAGTTTGCGCTTGGGATTCATCGTGTGAAGGCCACGTTGTAATTGCTGGTATAGAGAAGGGAAAGTAGGTGGCACGAGTGTGGTCGACAAGCAATAGACGTGGCTCGTCTGGTCTAGACTTTGCGGCATAATCTTTTGATACAATGCATGCTACCATCAGGGCTTTTATTGAGATGGATTTCGCATCCTATCTCCATTTGGGTGAGCTTGACCTTGCTGATCTTCACCAATTATGCTCTGAAGAAGAGGATCATGTGCCAAATGGTGGCGTTGGGGCGTTGTCTCGACTCAACCTCACTAGGGTTAATTTTCGTTGTATGTTTGTTGTTTTATTTCTCATTTTTTGTATTTACTTTGTAGAATGTTGTTGCATTCGACCTTGTGGGGTCTTCATCAATAATGTTTTGCTGTTATTGTGAGCATCGTTTTTTATATATATGTTTGGGGAGGGGTCTCCCCTGAGAGTATTTTGTAGGCCTTTCTTTTGGCTCTTAACTGAGTGGCCAATTGCCTTTGATTTGTGGTTACTTAAGGTGAGCCGAGATCATCATCTTGAGGCTCCGTGGACTCATATGTGCTAAATTTTTAGGGGAAGGTTATGATCCTTTGAGCCCTTTGGGTACGTTTGGTTTGAAAGCTTGGATTCTTTATTGCTTGTTTAAACTGACGTGTACATAGGGGGGTCATCTCTTTCTGAGATTTGTGGTTGCATGTTGGTGGGTCATTTTTCTTAGACAATGTGGGTAATAAGCCCGTGTTGTCGTCTAGAAAATATGTGCATCCCCCCCCCCCCCATTTTTGTTCTTTGTGTTTGTATTTTTGCTTTATACACATATGTGTGCATATTGACCAGTAAGGTTAGTCCGCTATCTTAAGAAACTCGATTAATCGTAAAGTTTTGAAGACAACTTAAGCATCTTCATGTCAATCCTTTGACCAATTTGTTTCTTTTAGGCCAGAGGTTCGAGCATCACTACCCCCTCCTTTGGTTATGTCATTTACTGGTTGTTTTTACAAATAAAAGTGGCACAGGTTGTGTGCGTTTCATGTTCGGGGTATAGGTCACTAATCTTGTGCTTCCAGCATGTACGCTCCGTCCCAATGCGCCCCCACTATTTTGTAGGGTCCTTCCCATGTTACACTTAGCTTCCCGGTGGCTCCGAGTGGCTAGCCTCATTCTTCCTTAGCACCCATTCTCATACCTTGAAGTTACTTACCCATACACTTTTGTTGTAAAAGTTTTATGTACGGGCTTTTTAGGCTGCTTGTCGCAGTCGAGCAGCTTGATGTTTCCCGTCTAGCATGTCCAAGTCTTGTCGTCACTCTACCTCGTTCAAGCCTTCATCGAAGTTGGTTACCCGCAATGCTTCACTCAAAATCTCTAGTAGGAGCACCACTTTTGTGTCGCATATTAGGCTGAAGGGTGTCTCTCTTATCCTTGACCTTGCGGTAGTGCGGTATGACCAGAGTACTGTTTGCAGCTCTTCCGTCCAAGCCTTTTTTGTTTTCATTAGGCGTTTCTTAAGCTCGTTCACAATGGTCATGTTTGACACTTCTATCTATCCGTTTGCCTAGGAGTGTGTGACTGAGGCAAAGCAACGATGGATATGTTTTTCCTCTCACCATTCCTTGAAGTTGCTTCCCTTGAACCGGGTGTCATTGTCGCTTATTAGGACCTTAGGGGTGCCGAACTGAATTAGGATGTTTTTCCACATGAATCGAATCATCTGCCTTCCTATAACCGTGACTAGGGGTTCTGCTGCGATCCATTGTGTGAAGTAGTCAACTACAACCAGTAGGAACTTCAATCCTCATGGAGCCACCGAGAATGGTCCTACAATGTCAATGTTCCATTAGTGGAAAGGCCATGGACTGTTGATGCTAGTCATGGTTGTTGTAGACTGATTCTGGAATGGGGCGAACGCCTGGCATTCTGGAATGGGGCGAACGCCTGATTTTGTACACATTGGGCTAATATACCCCTAAACGTAGTATCTTGCCCATGAGTGCCCGAGGCCCCTCATGTGCTCCGACTTCGCCCGGATGGCTCTCCTTAAGGAGGACTTAGCCTTCCTCGTCCGAGATGCATCTAAGCCAAGGCGCTAGGTAGCCTCTCTTATACAATTGCATACCTTTTATGGTGAATTGGGGGGCCTTTATTTTTATCTACTTGGACTCTTTTGAGTCATCCGGAAGGACCCCATGATGCAGATATTCTAGATATGTCTTGGTCTAGTCTAACGATTCTACGATAGCATCGACTTGGTTGTTGTCGGTACTCCTTTCTCCCGGGACCTCTACTAGTACCTACTTAGTTAGGTGGTTAAAGTATGTCGATTCAACTTGCTAAGAGCATCGACTCTTATATTGCCCCCCCATGGGTATTTGTTTGATTTCGTAGGTGTCATTAACCTTGTTGGTTATCAGCAGCGAATCACTGAAAGCCCAGAGTTGTTTCGTGCCGACTTCTTATGCCAATCGGAGGCCTGCAAGAAGTGCTTCATACTCTGCATCGTTGTTCGAAACTTGAAAGTTGAATCTCAAGGCATATGTTATTTCATCTCCCTTGGGGTTTTTGAGTATTGGTCCTGCGTCTGAGCCCCCCTTACTTGCTGCACCATCTGTGTGTAGTTCCCATATTTATTTGCTTGTTTCGGGCTCTAGCGGGTCTGCTGGTAAGACCTTTGGTATTCCTTCGAGTGTTTTCTGGTATTTCTAGCAAAAAGTCTACTAGTGCTTATGCCTTGATACTGGTCTGGGGGCGGTAATATATGTCGTGCTCCCCCAGCTCTATCACTCATTTCGCTAATCGTACTGACTTTTTGGGTCTTAGAAGGACCTGTTTTATTGAGAAGCTGGTCAGCACTTCGATTTTGTGTGCTTGAAAATAGCATCGTAGGTGTCTGGCCGTGTAAATTAGGGACAACACCAGTTTTTCCAGGATTAGGTAGTGTATTTCTGGGCCTTGCAATGCCCAACTTACGAAATGTATTGGTAACTTCTTCTTGTTTCTTTCTACCATTAGTACTGATGAAATGTGTTCATCGGCCTTTGTGAGGTATATCTGTAAGGTTTCTCTCGGGAGGGAGCTCGCCATTTTTGGTAGCTAGAAAAGGGCCTCCTAGGCATTGGAAAGTTGCATCTTCCTCTTTCATCCATTTGAAGTGACTCTTGTCGACACACCATTTCAGGCTGTGGAAGAGTGGTAGAGCTTTTTCTGCCAATTTGAGGATGAACCTACCTAGCACAGTTAGCCTCCCGTTGATTTCCTGGACCCCTTTTATGATGTGTGGGATTTTTCCTGAACCTTGACTTGGTTTGGTTTGATCCTTCTTTAGTTATTTGGTATCCCAGGAATTGGCCTTCTTCTACTCTGAAAGTGCATTTTCCCGGGTTGAGTTTCATCTGTTCTCGTGCTAGGGTCTGGAGGGTCTCCTCAACATCTTCCTTCGTGGCTGACTAAAGTTTATGGGAGGTGTATTGCTCTGATGGGCCATAGGTTGTGTCCCGTGAAGCCGACTAGAGGTCCAACTGTTGGGGGCTTCAATTCCGCTATCCAGCACTCTAGTAATTTCCATAAACAATGTTCATACAAGATATATGTGCTATTATCGTTATCTATGTAGACTCGATGGATTTGTTTGTGGCGTATGGACGCGGTTATGAGGAGCGGTTCCCTGCGGTTCCAACATTGACGATGCTATTTTTCTAATGTCGGATTTTTGTTGACTATAAATGTGGTCGAAGGGTACCCTATACTCGTCGCAAATTCTATGATGATGCTAGTCGGCCTAACGCTTGGTGCCAGACAGCCAAGTCTGCCAGCTAACAACATTTTCCTGGTGGAACCGATGCTATCATTTTGTGGTATTGCAAGCTTTGTGTTTTTCATCATAGATACGTACTGTTGTTTATCGGGTTTTGTCGTACTGGGCGCACGTCCGGATGGCACCAACTTTTGTGATAAGTCTCTTGCTCAACTCTATCACTTTGAATAATAGGATGGAGGACCTGAGAATCACAGCAAAGGAAACAAGCTCGCCAATCTTCGCCCGGGTGGCAGTCCCGAAACGAAGCTCTAACGATCAAGTAAGTTCATTTCTTAGAAAGAAGGTGAAGATATAAAGGAAGAGTTAGGAGATTTTTTCCACGGTCCCTTCTTTTGGAGGAGAAGGAACCTTTTATACCTATGATCAGGGGAACAAATCCTCAACGGAATATTTTACCTTTTCAGGAGTGGCAGAGGAAAACGGTCATTGATTGGTAGATCGTGCTCCACGTGTAGTTACTGACCATTGGTGCAGGGCTTTTAGGAGCGACGTTTTAAGAGGTACACTTGTCGTTCTGGAAGGAAACTAGTACTATTTTGTCTCAACACTGGCTTTAACACTTGGGCGCCAAGGAGTGGGTTTGGGATCGTGAGATCGAGGACGACAACGAGAGCTCGGCTTTAGGTGTCCACCACTCTTTTCTCAAACCGTCTGATGGTTCCGTTATTTTTGATGTATTTTTGGTGGGATATGTTAACAACTCTCATCCCACAACATATGGAAACTAATCTTTCCAAGCCCTGACGACTACTCGATTTTCATATTTTTTATTTAATAAATTATACTTTTACTAATTTAAAACTAAACAATAAAAAATAACATTTAATTAATAAAGGATACTACAAGAAAACAACAATTAAGATGACAAAATGACGATTAAAAAACTAAACAACAATTAAAATAAACTAGTTATACAATGATCGAATGTTAGCATGCTCATTCTAATCATAAAGATCGAACAAAGCTTGTTACATCCTTATTTCCATTATGTAATTTATTATGGTTTTAGTTTGAATATTTCACTGAAATTTTAAATCTGGAACTAATCGCAAGAAAGCGTGGCATGCTTCTTATGGGTGTGGCGCTGAGGCCCATGGGTTGAATGACTTTTTAGGGTTTTGGGACTACTTAAACACACTTATGTCTAAGAGTTAGAACACTTATAGCCTCCCACACCCCTACAGAGTGTTTCTAGAAACCCTAGCCACTCCCCTCCCATTTTGAGCTTGATTCTACCTTGAGAGCTTATCTTTCTTTGATTTGTTCATGAAGCTTGAAGATCACAATTTCCTTTAGATCTTTGAAGTGAAGAGAAAGTGTAGATCCATAAAGTTTTCACCTTTCTTAGACCTTTGTGAGTATAAAGATTCAAGCTTTCCTTATTATTTGCTAGATCTTGATTATTGTCCCTTTTATACACATTTAGTCCTAATTTGGTGGTGAGCTTGGAGTTGAAATAGCTCTAACTCCTTTTAAACAGTTAGGATTGTTATATGGACAAATTGGACTTGGAAACTGGGTATATTGAGCATATACTCTAAGCCACGCAAGTTTTGTGGACATTTTAGGTCTTTATGATGTTTAAAGTCTATATCTTGGTTATTGTGGTATGTCTTAATTAATGGATAAAGTTGGAAACTTTATTTATTTATACCTTCTTCGAGTTCAAATATGGAAGATAGGGTTATGAACTAATGGATTAAGTCAACAACGCATGTGAAGAAGGCCTAAACGCGAAACTCTTTTACAGTTTTCAACAACACGTTTATTTTAGCTCAAACACCTGACTGTTTTGTCCTTTTATAGGCGCGAGGAGCCCAAAAGAAAGTGTGGCACACTTTTGACCAAAATGTTGACTTGTTGAATTTTTTACTAAGTTTGGCATGGGATCAAACTTTAGGTTTTTAGGTCATAGCTGAGGTTAACCTTTATTTTTAATGTCTAGGTGATGTGTGAGACCGGTCTATTAGTATTTGTGTACGGGGATGGTTTTTTAGTTTATCTGTGAGGTGATTTTTTGTTGGAAAAAATGTCCAAGGTCATTAACTATTGGTAATAATTCTAATAATAACAGGGTCCTTTCTGGTTTCCCTCAAGACTCAAATTGAGTAGAATAAATAAAGGATATTATAGTTTAATAATTAATTAGAAACTAACTGAAAATATTTTGGGAATTAATTAACAATTTAATTTATTAAAGGCTTGAATATTCATTAAGAAATAGTTGATTAATTAGGAATGTTCCATAACCCTCTAGATGACTAGGGTTGGATGAAACCTCTCTTGGACAAGAGAGAATTTCGTTTTTGGATCCTTGTCCCACATGGGATGGAGTACAAAACCTCGGAAGGGATCCATGCTTTAAATAGGACCTTAGAGATCTCATACTTCCTTGCACCTTAGCTTGAAGTTTCGTCAACCCTTCTTCATCTCCCTCCAAGGGACGATTTCTTACCATCTTAGGGTTTGTGAAATTTATCCCCTCCTAGTTATTATTATTCTACTCTTTGGTGTCATTGACTGTAACACCATTATAGGGATTATGGTTTGGGTCCTCTCATCCAAACAACCTTGTGGAGGACGTGATCTCAAACATAGAGGTCAAGGGATACATATGAGATATGCTATTCTTTCTTTTGTATTTATGTTTTCCTAAAGGTAGCTGTAATTAGTATGAAGTGATAAATCTTTAGGTTGCATGTACACTTAGGTATATCACAGATTGATTTTTCCGCTACCTGATTTAAGTGTATTTGATGCATAGGAAACCCAACAGTGGTATCAGAGACATTGGGTCATAGTTGCTAGCACCCTTAATCAATATTTATTGTAAATTCTTGTTTGAAATTGGAAAAAAGTATGAAAAAATGAAGCTGAAAGAAACCTGTAATCATAGGTGTAGTGCGTCCCACCGGATTAGGGCTTCCTTGTTTTTTGTATGTTTAAAATTTGAAGATTTCTAATATGGATAATTACCAAATTTAAATTGCTTTAAATTTGGAAAACTATAAATATTCTTTAAATATGATTATTTGAATTTGAATATTTATTATTTAAATAGTGATTTAAACTTTTAATATTAGTTATAATAGATATTTATAAATTTGAATATAAACCCCTCATGAGTTATTAGTTATTACATTGTGCCCTCGCAATTAATTAGAATTAATAACAAACAACTAAATTTAAAGAGTTTTAAATTTACCCCTTATATATTAGAATTGTATCTACTATGTGTATAAGAAAGCTACAAAATGCATCCTCGTGTGTTTAAATTTTAACATTGATGGTCTTACCATGACTATGCTCACCCACTCTAAGGTAGGGGTTTATGGAGGTCTCTATGATTCCTAATGGGTTTCATTTTTAATCTGCTTTGCGCTTACCACCCTCACTGCCATATTGTATTTTGAGAGTAGAGTTCCAAAATGGTTTGATAGTGATAATGGTCAAGTTAAAAGTATTAACATTAAAAGTATAAGATAAAATCTCGTTTATTAATAGAATGTGAATTTTATGTTTATCCATGAAAATTGAACATTCTCTTTATATTCTGTTGGTGGAGCTCGTGTGGTTCACCGGCACATCAATCTAGAGTATACTAGCGAATCCCAAGCGTCACTTGAGTTGGGGACCATGCAATTTTGCATGGTTAGTTCATCATTTTGTTTAACTAAAAGTGAATCTTATATTATCCATAAGAGTTCCACATTCTCTTTATAACTTGTATGAATCATTCACCATCTGTTCAATGATCTACAGCGACCA